AAAAAAAAAAAAAAAAAAAACATGTACCATCTGCGTTCTCCCTCTGCCAGAACCTCCAACCCTCGCAGACCCACTCTTTGCCTCTCTCTCCCTTCTCCTCCTCCCTCCTCTCTCCCTATCTCCCTCATCTTCCTTGATCTTCCTTGGTTGTGGGTTTCATTGATTTGCAAGTTTTGGTCAAAACAAAAAAGGACCCAAGTGTACTGCAACTATGCCAAGCCCGATCTTGGTTCCAATGCTACAGAGACAAGTTATGGGTAAAAACGAGAAATTCAACAAAAATGATTAGCTTCTATTTTAAAAACTAAAGCAAATGATCTTCCTTGGTTGTGGGTTTCATTGATTTGCAAGTTTTGGTCAAAACAAAAAAGGACCCAAGTGTACTGCAACTATGCCAAGCCCGATCTTGGTTCCAATGCTACAGAGACAAGTTATGGGTAAAAACGAGAAATTCAACAAAAATGATTAGCTTCTATTTTAAAAACTAAAGCAAATGATCTTCCTTGGTTGTGGGTTTCATTGATTTGCAAGTTTTGGTCAAAACAAAAAAGGACCCAAGTGTACTGCAACTATGCCAAGCCCGATCTTGGTTCCAATGCTACAGAGACAAGTTATGGGTAAAAACGAGAAATTCAACAAAAATGATTAGCTTCTATTTTAAAAACTAAAGCAAATGATCTTCCTTGGTTGTGGGTTTCATTGATTTTCAAACAAAAAAGGACCCAAGTGTTTATTTCATCAAGCTATGGTAGATGCAGAAACTACATCAAGCTATGGTAGATCAGCCTGTAAAAATCAAGGAAGATGAGGGAGAGAGAGAAAGAGAAGGGAGGAAAAAGAGGGAGAGAGAGAGGCAGAGTGGGTCTGCGAGGGTGGGTGCAAGGCGCCAGCAAAGGAGGTACAGGTTTTTTTTGTTTTGTTTTTTTGGATTTTAAGTTTTAAAATATTTAAAATATAATATATTTTATTTAAAGCCACATGGATGTATACTATTGGATGTGTGGGCTCTACACACGTGCCACATTAGCTACTTAACATAAAATTTGACGGAAGCTAATGGCAGGGACCATTTTGATGTGTGAAAGGTAACCTTAGGGACCATTAGTGTCACAAAAAGACGTTAGGGACGAAATGCGATAATTTTGCAAATCTAAGGGACCATTTGTGATAAAAAGTCTAATATATTTAAAAGGATGTTTCCAACAAAAAAGAAAAGAAAAGAGAAGATGGAGAAAAATGAATTGGGCCTAAAACAAATTATGTGGAACTACTTGAGACATCTCTACTATGTTTTTGAGTCCTGCTGTCAGTAGTCCTCATTGCTACGCAATCTGTAACATATTGAGTGACGTGGGAGCATGTGTGGCCGTTGGGCCCAACACGTGAAGTCTGGCTTTGATTTCATGAAGGAACTTGAGGTTCCACCCCAAAACCAATTGGCAATGGGGGAGCAGCTCAACTCCTTATAAACCCAGGCTAGGTCCATTAACATTTCAATATGGGACAAACACTCTAAACACCATGTAGTAAATGAGGCAGCAAGTTCTGACTTTGGTTTGGCTTTTGGAGAAAGTCATGCATTGATCTTGCAGAGCAAGGTGTAGGCTTGGCTTGTAGAGGTTGCCATGTTACATTAATGAGTGGTTGAAATTGAAGACACTTTGGTCTTCATTGGTGCTGCCGACGACATAGGAGGAGTGCTGGAAAAGCTTAATATGCAGCAGCTGAGAGGCTTGTGCATGCAAGCGGTGTGTGCTTGTGTGTCAAACCGAAGAGGGAGTTGAGAGGCTTACGGCAAATGTAAGTGGGAGTGGGCTGCTCGTGAGATGCAAGCAAGCAGTCCCACGACTCCAGGAAAATCAAGAGGGGTTTCTCTTGGGTTCACTTGAGTATCAAGTGGGGTGCAACAACTCAGGTTGTGTGTGTTGTTTACATACAAGGGAGTTGTGGTGAGAGAGTATGGTGTTCAAGAATATTTATCCCCGAATCCCCGATTTTTTTTTTCTTTCAAAAATATTTATCGTACATTATAACACTAATTTCACCTTAAACTATCAATTAGCACAAACTCAGGGACTAGTTATTATTAAACCGGAGGTGAGATAAAATAGAGTATGAGAATAGTCTAAAGATTGAACAGAAGCAATTCTAAACATAAAATCCAAATGGTTGTTATTTCAATGACGATTTCAAGGTTTTCATTCATGAATTGAACCAAAGATAGGTATTAACATGAGAGATGTTTATTCATTTATTTGGCCGACAATATCTTTCAGTTTATTATTCTATTTTATTATCTCACTCTTACTCATTATGGTTGTTTAAATCAAATCTTAGACAAGACAACGATGCTTTGTTTGTGGCGGAAAGCATGCAAACATGAACGATTAAATTAGATTACTTGATTATAAATTATCTCGTATTTTAGTGGTATTTTTATCCTAAATGTTAGAAGAGGTTTTACATTCGACAACTCATTTTGGATTTTGTTATCGACGGTCTTTTTACATATATCTATTAGAGATGTGGTAAATATCTAAATTGTTAATTAACATATCAATTTGATATAATGTGTTGGCAATTTAGCGCCTCTATTATGACTCATAAGCAATTTTTTAAAACTGTCGTCCACCAATATTACGACACGTGAATTAGTAATACAAGATGTGGCAATATTACGTTCACAAACACAAACTTCTCCTCTATCGTTACATTACACACCTATTACCTATATTTATACACGAGTGTATTTTAAGAAACTATATGATAGGAAGGACGAGATACAGACAAATTAGTACTAAAACAAAGCCTAAACTGCTCCACTTGACTCCCATGATCGGTAAGCAACAAAAAGAGTTAACCTGCTCAGGCTGCTCTAAATAGAAAAATCCAACAACAACAAAAACAAAAAATATACTCAAATTCATCCAACATTCTTCCATACTCAAGTCAAACATTAAAGAAGGAATGTAACAGTGTCAACATGTTAAAGTATTTAAAACCAGGAAGACTTGAAGTTCTTGATCAGATAACATATTCAGCAGAAGAATCAGAACAAAAAGCTCTCTCCCAGGAGAAAATATATATCACCTGAGAAGACAAAATATATATATATATGGGAGGCTGTGACATGAATGGTCTCCTGCATGAGGAGAAGTTTAGTACACCAATGCCTTGGATTGGCATGTATGTAGCAGCAGCATCCCTTGCCTGCCTAATTGCAATGGCAGCAGATACAATCCTCGGCTTCCGGCACCATAAACTCTGGTTCCCTTGCATGTTCTTCTCCATCAATGCCACTTCTCTGACCTTGATAGGTGTGGCAATGAAATTGTCAGTGGATCTAAACACTCCCATGCCCAACCGCCACGATCAGCTCGCAAAGCTCAGCAGCTCTGTCTTGATCTGCACAGCAATGGGAAACTCCATGCCTTCTCTTGGAGCCATGGAGAATGAAGAGATGTTCATGAATGTAATTGCTTTGGGAATTTTAGTCATTACCCTTATTGTCAACATCTGCATCCAATTAGCCACTGGAGCAATCTTTGTGTTCTGGAAGGAGCATGCTTCAATTATGTTCATCATGCTTGTTTTGCTCCTCATGTTGATTTTCTCTGCTTTATCTGTTCCTACCACCAAAAGTTATTTAGAAAAAGGGTACAAGAAAAGGTACCAGTTGTCTCATGAAGAATGCAAAAATGGAAGTTTCAGAAGAGAGGTCTACAGACTCAAGGAGATATTGACTAAAATCTGGGTGATGGCTCACACCTCTAGCCCCCAATTTGTGATGGGCCGTTCTGTGACATGCACTGCTTCTGGAGCTTTCTGTCTTTTTGGTGCCATGATTTTGGCAGAAGCCATGCTTAGAACATACTTGATGCCCTGGTCGATAAAGTTTTGCACCGGCGAATCAGACTACAAATTGACAACCACTTTGATTCTATTTACACAGGCTATTGCAGTAGGAGTTGGTACTATTGCTCCAGCATTTAGATGGTTCATGGCGATAAATTTCAAGTGCCCGAAAAGAGGAAACATAAGCTACAAAAAGGAATTTGAAATTGAAAGGTACTGGATTCAGGGACTGATGGAGTTGCAGAAGTGTCCATTAAACTTTAGAATCCAAAACAAGCACGGCAGGAAACTTGCTCATCAAGCAAGAAACAAGCTCTTGGACTTATGTATTGCAATGCAGAAGGGGATTGTCCTATTGAGTAAAGTGATCCGATTAATTTCCATTTTCTTTGTAAGTCGGCTCTTTTTACTCCACGACGTCTTCAAACAGTGGAAGATCAAGAAGTTTGAATTCGACACTGGACCAGAGTTACAGCAAAACCGAAGGCAAGATCTTAGCGATTACGTTTTGTATCTTGAAGGTGAGGATGCATTGGTTCATTTCATGATGAATACAAATTGCGATGCTACTAATCATTGGATTCAGAAAGGAAAGAAAGAAGAGCCCAAATATCTCATCAAGCTCTTGGAGAACTCAACAGCTTCACAAGGATTCAAAGGAGTGGCAGAGTTTGACAGCGACCAAGTTCCCTCTCTAGACTGTGAAGAGCCTCCAAATTGTTGGGCTCTTCCTGTTGTGACACTCTCAAGTATTGCTCTTGCACTTCCAAACATCAGCAGTGGTTCAATGAAAAATCTGATACATGG